GAGGGGGTTTTTCTTGAAACAAACATTTATAACATCAGGCTTTAATTCAAATTTTATGGAGGATAAATTGCAGGTTTCAAAATTATTTTCAAGGGGGTTATACTCATTGCAAAAATTCTTTAGGACTCTGAGCATAACCCCTGCAATTCAAAGTTTAATTCATAGGTTTAAAAGACAAATACACAGGTTTAGAACAACACTGCATCTACGGGAGTTCTGCGCAAAGCAGAATTTTTTTGAAAATGTTTCTGCTTTGAGCATAGCCCTCTTAGAAACAATAAATTCTAAGAACAATCTGAGGGGTTAGGCTCATTTGGAAGCAATTTTTGACCCTGGAAACGCAATTTCTGAAAAATTGACTTGAAACGGCATTTTTGAAAAATTTTGGTGGAAAATCCAGGTGTCTTATTGATGTGTACCATGTAGCAAGAAACTCACGATACCCTATGAAGCAATATCCAAAACGTTCGAATATCTGCATTTATAATGACTTTTCATGGTAAACGTGTGATTTACCCCGGTTTCAGGAGGAAAATCTTTTGAAACCTTTTTTAGCATCTTCTTCAAAAAACCCAAATCAGGGGTTTCTTTACTCCCTTGATTTATCAGCAGCGCAGTAGAAGTGATCAAGATATGATAATTTTAAACCTGTCATAGGGTCCATCAAGTTTGGAACGCCTTTTTAACAAGAAAATGATGAAAAACTACCGCAATTCGTCTTCAGGATCACGGCAACTGTGGTTGATTCTGGTGACTCCTTGGAATCTTCCTGGATCTCATTCCAATTGGAAATGCTGTCAACCCATCCTGGAAGTGGAACAGTACTGCTACTGCGTAACATTCTAATTATCTTTATAGGGGGTGGGCCAAAAAAAAGCAAACCGACTTTTGACTTGCAGCCAGAAAAGAGAAAGCCAAGACAATCCATCGAAATCAATAGAGAGTATGTTGACAAATACTGATACAATATAGTAACCAGCAATTGAGAAATTTGGATTTTTCCAAAAGTATTTTGGCAGTATTGGTTTTTCTAGGAAGGCCCTCCGAACTGGATCCCACCTCTCAAAGAATCATGCATGTGTTGTGTGCTGTCATTTATCTTTGCAGCGGTATCGAAATATGAAAATATTTCGAAATAGTTTTATTTACATGTGTCATTCGTAAAAATAATGACACATAATGATGAGGAGCTTCCTGATATACTCTCCTATATATGAAAGAGTTTTTTGCATACCATTCTGCCCATCACCTGTATCATGAAACGGTTCATTTGAAGTAAAAAATGATCTTTTTTATGTTTCAAACAAAATGAAATGAACGGGATGCAAGTTGACTGCATGCGTTGTGAGATTAGAGAGCGACTTTTTTAACTTTGTGATTTTTAAGTTGGGTTATCATCCTTGTTCACTGTTTCTGAGTTGGACCACAAGGACGTCTTAAATGAATGACTTTAGATCGTGGAATTCATGAGCTGTTTGCTGCTGAAAATTGGGGGAGAGTTTCTGGATTGACGGGAAAAAATTGAAATTTTTTGAGTGAAAAAAATGTCCCCAGTATTTTCATACCTATATACAGTCAGTACCCTGCAATTTGACCCTAATCCATGGTCAGACTGGGGTCAAATTGCAAAATGGTCAAATCAAAAGACAACATCAAATAGCATGTTTTATACATAGCAATTGACATTATGTCTCTCTCTGCTGGTTGAATTGTCTGGCAGAGGTCAAATTGCAAGTCACTCTCCCGGGAAGTTCAACATAGTTGAATTGTGGGACACGCAGTCAAATTCTAGGATGTCAACATGGGATGAACCACCTGTATACAGGAGATAATTGCATTTGTTTCAAATTTTCAGTTGAATTACTGAAATCCATTCATTTCCATAGTTGGTTTCTTGTGAAATTGGTCATATACCTTGTAACAATGTTTCAACTTTCTTTCAGAACTTTCAAACTTTTTCTGAAATTTGAAATTTATTTCTATCTCACAAGCATGATTTTTTTCAATCAAGATACAAATGAGTCTTGAATAAAAGCTCCTGTTGGGGAACAACACGTACGCGCAAACAGATATTACAATTAAACTATAAAAACTATGAAAACCACAAAATCAGATAAGAGTTCAAACCCTCAAAGGGAAGGAACTCACCAAGGCTAACCACACTAGAAGATCAATCAAAACCAGATTCAATTTCTGCTGCTCCCAAGTTTTACCAAAGAACAAAACCACATTCGCAATTGAACTTTGAACTGTGAAGGGTTTCCAAAATTCTATCCAAGAGTTGTGCTGAGTTGTTTAAAGTGTTGAAATTATCCTCAAAAAATCTTTTTGTTGGGACAAAATTCGAAATACAATATCAACAGTTTTAAATAGGAAATCCTAAAGGGATTCCAGGCATTGTTGCAGGCTGATTCTGCATTTCACTTCCAAATTTCAAACTTTTCCAAACTTTACTTTATCCATCAATTTTTGATCCACAAGTGACTTTATTCACATTTATGTTGAAGTAAGTTATTCTTTAACAGCTCCTAGGAAGCCAGAAAAAGCTGTTGTCTTTCATTTCCTATTATAATTCCCTCTCGCTTAAGTATTTGGAGGGTTTACTTTTTATTTTTATCTTTTTAAAGGTTTTTTCGTGATTTTATTTTTATAATTTTTAGAATACGTGCGAAGAAATGAAAAAATTATCTTTAGTGCTCAAAGGTAAAGAGTTACATGTAGGATAACACACTGCCTGAATCGAGCCTGGTGTTGGTAAACATTTAGTTGAATATATGAGGCTATTTCGACATGTCTGGAAGTAAGGAGAACCTCTGTTTAGAAGTAAATCAACAATGCACTGAAAAAACTGCGTTTTTAACTGGAAGATTCTGTGTTTCGTGCCTCGCGTTTCCGGGGGCGACAGAACTGCATCCGGAATCTGACCAACTGCGTCTAAAAGTTCTTCTTCACAGTTGATCACTTCTTCGCCAGTATCCAGCATTACACAGACGGATTTCGTCAGATATTGAATTTCATTCTGTATACGCATTGAAATTCCGGTTGATAGAAACAGACACCGACGAGACATGGACAATAAGCGGATTTTGGTCATTTTGGTGGTGGTGACGATTTTGGCTCAAGCCTTCGTAGAAGCTACTTCTCCTGTCGGCCCTGGTGAGTATTTTCTGAAGATTTATCACGTATCTCACCATTTCATTAAGGTAATTCTAATTTACATTTATTTTGCACCTTTCGATGCAAATTTTGAAGGATCACTTAAATATCCGCGTCTACAACAGTTCTTTACATTGGTTCAAGTATAGTTGAGCGATTATTTTTCCTTCAAGTTGTTCTGATATGGGGAAGCAGCCGTACATGAAAGTTTAAAAACTGACCTCGATTTATTAAAGACAGTGTTATGCAACTTTAAATAATTTTAAGTAACGTGTTGAGAAATAAATGCGTTTCTCGTTCATTAGTCTTCACTGAGTTATTGAAGAAAAAAGTCTCCCAAAATGGGATGAATCCAAAAATTTTGATATATCTTATACTGCATCAGGATTAAGTTTCAATATTGCAAGGTATCTTTCCAATGAAAGTGCTGGTATCATCTAAGTAATATCACCTGACCACTCATTTTTGATCATTATACACTTTTATACCAGACGAAGCTCGATTTCATGAACAAATGAAGTTTTCGATATTTTACATTGTAAATTTCGAAATATCGATAACGGACTTTTTTGGATGAAGGTTTTCTGGTGCGAGAATTGTGATGAGGAAAAAACTATACTCCTCTTGTTTTTTTAAGCCTTGTTATCAATTCATAAGGAAGAAAATGCACTGGATATATATTCAAAAATGTTCAGAATGTCATGTATTCTAGGATGTCAACATGGGATGAACCACCTGTATACAGGAGATAATTGCATTTGTTTCAAATTTTCAGTTGAATTACTGAAATCCATTCATTTCCATAGTTGGTTTCTTGTGAAATTGGTCATATCCCTTGTAACAATGTTTCAACTTTCTTTTAGAACTTTCAAACTTTTTCTGAAATTTGAAATTTATTTCTATCTCACAAGCATGCTTTTCTTTAATCAAGATACAAATGAGTCTTGAATAAAAGCTCCTGTTGGGGAACAACACGTACGCGCAAAAAGATATTAAAATTAAACTATAAAAAACTATGAAAACCACAAAATCAGATAAGAGTTCAAACCCTCAAAGGGAAGGAACTCACCAAGGCTAACCACACTATAAGATCAATCAAAACCAGATTCAATTTCTGCTGCTCCCAAGTTTTACCAAAGAACAAAACCACATTTGCAATTGAACTTTGAATTGTGAAGGGTGTACAAAATTCTATCAAAGAGTTTTGCTGAGTTGTTTGAAGTGTTGTTGAAATTATCCTCAAAAAATATTTTTTTGGGACAAAATTCGAAATACAATATAAACAGTTTTAAATAGGAAATCCTAAAGGGATTCCTGGCCTTGTTGCAGGCTGATTCTGCATTTCATTTCCAAATTTCAAACTTTTTCAAACTTTACTTTATCCATCAATTTCTGATCCACAAGTGACTTTATTCACATTTATGTTGAAGTAAGTTATCCTTTAACAGCTCCTAGGAAGCCAGAAAAAGCTGTTGTCTTTAATTTCCTATTATAATTTCCTCTCGCTTCAAGTATTTGGAGGGTTTACTTTTTATTTTTATCATTTTAAAGGTTTTTTCATGTTTTTATTTTTAGAATTTTTAGAATGCGTGCGAAGGAATGAAAAAATTATCTTTAGTGCTCAAGGGTAAAGAGTTAGTTACATGTAGGATGAACACACTGACTGAATCGAGCCTCCTGTTGGTAAACATTTAGTTGATTATATGAGGCTTTTTCGACATGTCTCTGGAAGTAAGGAGAACCTCTGTTTAGAAGTAAATCAACAATGCACTGAAAAAACTGCGTTTTTAACTGGAAGATTCTGTGTTTCGTGCCTCGCGTTTCCGGGGGCGACAGAACTGCATCCGGAATCTGACCAACTGCGTCTAAAAGTTCTTCTTCACAGTTGATCACTTCTTCGCCAGTATCCAGCATTACACAGACGGATTTCGTCAGATATTGAAATTCATTCTGTATACGCATTGAAATTCCGGTTGATAGAAACAGACACCGACGAGACATGGACAATAAGCGGATTTTGGTAATTTTGGTGGTGGTGACGATTTTGGCTCAAGCCCTCGTAGAAGCTACTTCTCCTGTCGGCCCTGGTGAGTATTTTATGAAGATTTATCACGTATCTCACCATTTCATCAAGGTGATTCTAATTTACATTTATTTTGCACCTTTCGATGCAAATTTTGAAGGATCACTTAAATATCCGCGTCTACAACAGTTCTTTACATTGGTTCAAGTATAGTTGAGCGATTATTTTTCTTTAAAATTTTTCTGATATGGGGAAGCAGCCGTACATGGAAGTTTAAAAACTGACCTCGATCTATTAAAGACAGTGTTATGCATCTTTAAATAATTTTAAGTAACGTGTTAAGAAATAAATGCGTTTCTCGTTCATTAGTCTTCACTGAATTATTGACGAAGAAAGTCTCCCAAAATGGGATGAATCCAAAAATTTTGATATATCTTATACTGCATCAGGATTAAGTTTCAATACTGCAAGGTATCTTTCCAATGAAAGTGCTGGTATCATCTAAGTAATATCACCTGACCACTCATTTTTGATCATTATTCTCTTATACCAGACGAAGCTCGATTTCATGAACAAATGAAGTTTTCGATATTTTACATTGTAAATTTCGAAATATCGATAACGGACTTTTTTGGATGAAGGTTTTCTGGTGCGAGAATTGTGATGAGGAAAAAACTATACTCCTCTTGTTTTTTTAAGCCTTGTTATCAATTCATAAGGAAGAAAATGCACTGGATATATATTCAAAAATGTTCAGAATGTCATGTTTTCTCTAGTTGATCATGAATTCTGTGAAATTGATTCAAAACTGTTGCTTTCTTAGCCTTCAATTTCGTCGATCCATCTCTAGAATGTTTCTCTGATCATGATGATTTTGATTGCATCATTTATCGAGTCAAATTAGGTGACGTAAAATCACAACCGAAAGCATGATCGTAATCTTACGAATTTGAAATTATTCCAATTATGGTTGATGGGGAATTGGTAAAGAAGGCATATTTTAATTACTACCGCCAGGTTGAATTTGGAATTTATTTTGAATGGCAGATCCTTTGACAGCAGATTATGTACTTTTCAGATCCATGTCCACCTGGAGTTTGTAATTGCCCCAGAAATTACAAACCCGTTTGTGCGTCGGACGGGCGTAAAACGAAAATATTTTCCAATGCCTGTCGAGTCAAGTGTGCGGTTTGCGACACGAGGATCTCGCTGAAAATCGTTGACATGTCTCTATGCTCCTGAAGGTCCTGAATATTCAATTGAAATTCGGCATATTGTGTATAGACGAAAAACCAAATGCTCTGCCGGTAATATTGCAATTATTTAATCTATGTATATACAAGGGTGGTCCCTTTTGGACGCGACCTTGGTTATTTCCAGAGTACGGATGACTGTAAACACAACAAAAAAAGAGAATGATGTAAAGCCCATGCTGTTGTAAGGTTCTGAGATTTTTTGGCTTGCACTGTTTTTTCTACTTGATGATAACTTGATAAGTGAAAGCTTTCCAGCAGTTACGACCATAAGCAGAACTCTCTACCCATGTCACATGGTGCTAAATATGAGCCATGCCATTTGTAAATTGAAAATTCTTGACGGTTTAAATTAAGAAAAGGTAACGGGTGAAACGAAAAAAAGTCAATTTTTTCAGGGTACCTGGCCTTTTTTCGGCACCCTGTGACATGAGTGGAGAACTCTGGCCCGGACAAGAGTTTTCACTCAACAAGTTATCATCAAGAAGAAAATTTAAATTTTTGTGAAACTGAAAAAGTCCCACAACCGTAAAACAACATGGGCTATACCACAATTTATTTTACATTTAAACATTCTCTAGAAACAACCAAGGTCGCGCCCAAGTGGGACAACCCTCGGTTATATAGTGTACAGTACTTGTATATACTGTACAGTATACCAACTTACAGAGACATACTGTATTGAACTTACCTTTTCGCGTGCAGTATATTCTTGCTTCTAGATGCATTGTACTTGCTTCACCATGTCATATGCGACTTTGAATTGTAAGGTAATAAACATGATTAGCCTTGAGTCGATCGTTTATTTGTCGTCGATTGCCGGAAATTTCGAATCGCGAAAAGATCAACCAACTGCTGCATTATTTTCATGGGGAACCGAATGACTGATTTGACGAAGTTCAAAGGTTTGAAAGAAAGGCATTCGATCTACTATATCGGTGCTTCAGCTGAGAACTTTTTTCAGAAATATTGTTTGGAACTTCCTTCGATAATTGAGGAATCACCGGAATAGGACTGATTAACTGAAGACGATGTGGAATTTGAGTACGAGGCGGGCATTAGAGCAGCACCTATTACGGAAGAATCATCGCTTCTCCCCGGTAGTTTCTTGTTTTCAAATAGGTGTCACTGCTTTGGAAGCAGCATCGAACAGTATTTTCTGTAGAGTATCGTCGTAATTTTTGCTTCATGCATAAAATATAAACCACATGTAGTCGTCAAAGATTTTTTCATCACCGATGTGCAAACTGTGATCAAAGAAAGGCCTTATGCAAAATGGGGCATCAGCAAATCCACCTCGCCATGACCTATAATAATACGTGTATTGTATATGAATCTGGCCTCTCTTCCTGATGGCCGCCACCGAAGTGCTGGACGCCGTGTCAAAATGCATGGGCTTCAAGAAAATCTGCATATGAGAGTCATATAAAATTAAGTAGAGTATCATTGTGTATGTTTTCTTTGGATCTTCCACTGCATTTTGATATTGCAAGGCAGCATAACAGTGTATAACTGACAGCGTGAAATTTCAGTCAAAATTCCTACCCTTTGCATTATTGCGCAATTTATGAGGATCAATGAAATAACAAGTGTGTAGATTTCTGAAATTTAACATGGTATTCATCAAATTTGGATGTACAAGTTTTCTAGACAGCAGGTAAAATGTAACTGTACTATTTCATTTTCGCAGATTTATATATTGTCACAGATTCAGGGAAAATTGGTCACCATACGAAAATCATGAAAATTGAAGAAGAAGATTTTGTTGCAGAGGGTTAATAAATCAGACAAGCTCATAGGTTATTTTGATCTTTGATTCCAGCGGGATAATACCGTATTGTTCGTGGAATATATTTTGCTATCGGAATGTTCTAAAACTATTCGTTAATATATATATTTTTTTATTATAAGCTAGCATATAGAACTGTTCCGAATTAAAATTTGATGGAAGATCTGTATACTCATCATGTACTGGTCCTGTATTTAAAAAAACCCCAACAACATGCTCCATGAGCATCTTGACTGTTCAAAGAAATTGAGCTTTTTTTTCAGTAAACACGCGTATAACGCTTACTCACAAATCACAATCAAAGGTGCATGGTTGTCAGCCAACAAGGTTTGCGGATATTTCAGTCAATAAATGCCAGGTTCAACGAAACTTATTGGTCAGAATGCATCAAAAGTTGACAATAACTACTTCAATACTCAGAATATGGGATTTTCGAAAAATCAGAGGAGCAATCTTCAAAATGTAAAACACATATATATATGCAATTACATCTGCATTCCCTGAATAACTGATAAGCAGACATATTTCAAGAAATAAAGATCCCAGAACGCGGAGGTACGGTATTAAAAATATAATACACTATACAGAGTGTTTTTCTGGCTTCTATTATACAGGGAAGTACATATTGACTTATTGGAAAAGTACGTATTTAATCATATGTGACGAGTTTGACTCCTGAATGAACCAGAGAATTAAGCATGACTGGAAAAGTAATCACCACTGCAGAATTTCGAAGCAATTACCTCACACAGCGTAAACTTCGCTCATGAAGCCACAAACAAATCCATTTGTATATCATGGAAGACGAATATATCTTTTGTTTCGTTCGCACATGAGTAACTGTGTCCATCACCAACACCTCAATGAAAATGGTGAAAAAGTGCTTTCAAATCCTTCAGTGACAAAAAAACAACCTTGCAATAAGATCTTTACACTCGAAAATCCGAAAATCAAATCCCCGAAATTATTTCGCGTCATTCCACAAAATAACTGCATTCTCGCGGAAATTAACACAGCAACTCAAATAAATCTTTGCCCGAGATTATTTACGAATGAAAATTTGGTGGATGCGGAAATAATCCCTGTTCTGTCTTTTTGACAAATCCCAGTTGAGCTCCTTGGAAACCTCGTCGGCGTGGATTTCCTTGAAATTTTTGCTGGTCATAAATTCCCTCAGCGGTTTGACGCCTTCTTCCGTGTGAGCAGTTTCCACCACTACAACCTGAAATTCAAGAAAATATAAAATATGCCATTAAAACTGTCTAACTCAGTATGTATTTTTTTCCGGTTATTTCGCCGGAAGATCCAAAAACGTTTGACGGACTTACATGATATTAAAATGTTTCCCGTTTTTATGGGGAATCCTGACTTTTTTCTTCGGATATTAAGTGCCAGGATTTTACATGATGAAAAACATCTTCGAAGAGTAGAATCGATGTAAATTACTGCACATTTATTTCAATTTTTCCAAATTATATGAACTGGGTTTTTCGGGTCGATTTTTCAAGCAATAAAGTTTATTTGAAGAAAATAAAAAGGGATGAATTCCTCGAGAAATGGTGATTTCTCATCGATAAGCAACTGCAGTTATGCACGTTGTTCCAAAGGTGTTTTCCTATATAGAGATAAGCTTTCAATTTCAAAAGATTGTACAGAAGGCAGCTCTATTGCATGATGTGCAATATTATGAATTTCAGTTCACTACCAGCCGTTCCCGAAATGTTCAACAGCAATCAAAAATGTTGATCAGAAGAATATTGGAACGGGAACGCCTTCCTCAGTTCAGCATACTATGTATCATGTCTCACCTACCCTCACTAACAATTGTGATTGCACAAACGTTCAACAACTTCAATCTGGTAGGTATATTCCGAAACAGTACTGTATGAGATGAATTGAGACGGAAAGATCCGGAACTCGCCTGGAAGTCAACTTTGTCGAATGGCACGGTTTGAAGCACTTGCAACTCAACGCCTTCCAAGTCCAGGTTGAGAAAGTGGACTCGGGTCATGTTCGCAGCCAGCAACAGGGAATAAAGGGTGAACTCGCCTGGAAGTCAACTTTGTCGAATGGCACGGTTTGAAGCACTTGCAATTCGACACCTTCCAAGTCCAGGTTGAGGAAGTGGACTCGGGTCATGTTCGCAGCCAGCAACAGGGAATAAAGGGGAAAACAGTCGACCAGCCACATTTACATCTCAGCCCTCCTGTTCTGAGCAAACAGTCGGTGCAGCTTGAACACGAACAACTACCACGGGCACGCAAGCTCGGTGCCCAGGAACCCCAGCATCCGCTTCGCGTAAACGAAGAACACGGGTCTGGGTTCCGGGGACAGACACACGGGTGCGAACCAGGCCTTGCGATGCTTGGCCAGGTACCGTTTGATGTTGGGCAGGGTCATTTCCACAGTGAGTCCTGTCCAGCCCTTGAATCGTTCCAGGAACAGAGTCCGAGACGCGATTTCTCCGTCCAGGGCACCTGCCTCGAAGAACACTCGTTTGTTTGCTCCAGCATTCGATCTTCCGCCTGGCACCTGAATTATTTTTGTCATGGCAAAATAGCTGCTGGTTTGATATACGACAGTAACCTATGCGGAAACTATTAAAGAGAGATTGATTCGATGAAATATCGTTTGGTGATCATATAATTTTCAAAGATGCCTGCAGCTTGTTATATATCCAGGGTTTGCTCAAATTCTTTCGGATACAACTCCCGAAATTGTATTACAACATTTTGAAAAAATCTGAAATATTCACGGTAACAAACATTTTTTCGATAAAGAAAACTGCAGCGATTTTTCGCTGGCTTTTTCGATATCATTTTGGAAACCCAACACTAACTTTTTCAAGCAAACCGGTTATAGTGAGTAATTTTTTATGTGGTTTAATCCAAGAAAAATTATCAATCTATCTTGAAAATTCTAGATTCATATACGAAGGGTTCCTCAAATGAAGTTTCAGCTTCCGAACCCAACGTTTCAAAATAAAGAATTGAATCACTTTTAGTACAGTACGTCCATTTTTATAATAAAGAAAATGAGAGCGCTTCAATTTTGCACTGACTACTTCCAGATTAATTTCATAACCCAGAAAATAAAGCAGATTTTCTTCATACCACAGAAGGAATTTAACAAAATTTTTGTTGAACACTCATCACAACGATGGTTTTCGTCATGCAAGTGTCTGTGGATTATGTATAAGAGATACTTGAACGTCAAAATTACTTTTTTTTTTAGGAAGAATGTCCTCAATATGAGGAATTTTTGCGATTATAATGATAAGGAACTTTCTTTCAATTTATTTTAGGCAACACCGCCTATACATACGAAGCATGTAATATTCCTGAAACAAGTGTCGTCCTTTATCTTTGATTGAGGAATGGTTTGAAATAAAAATTGCATAGGAAAATCATCGCAATGCTGGCATTTCTCACCAGGTTCGAGTCCAGCAGAGGCAACATGAACTTAGTTGTTGCCTGTTCCTCAGATGGATCTGCAACTTCTGGTTCACTGAGATTATAGGCCATGGGTGAGGGCGGCACGAGAACCCTTTTGCGAATGTAGGCCAAAAGTACTGGGTCGTCTTGTGCAATCGAGGGGTTCGAAAAGATGCCCAGTGGGTCATCCTCTGCATTTGGCACATACGGCTTCTCCCATTCAGACGATATTACGTCGATCTTCCCGATGATCCGAGGGTCGATTTTGACCCGCTGTCTTCCACCATCAATCAATTGCTCTTCCCAAGTGTCCACGTCGGAAACTTTGTACCGCTTAGGTAGACTCGCAGGCCTTTAAGAATGATGTAAATGCAGTGATGCTTTCGTTAAATTGTCAATTAATGTCAATCATGGGAAGAAACAATTGTCTAAAGATGAGTGTTCCCCAAAACCCATCATGGCCCGCAGACCAACGCTGGTCTGCAGACGTTTTTTGCCGGTCTGTGGGAAGTTTTCTGCAACATAATAAATTTATCAAACATAACAATTGAGTCTGTTATCTTTATCTAA